CATGAGTGACTGTGTGCAAGGCGTCCCGGTCCAGAAAAGGTCGCAACTGGTGAATCAGGCGAACCTGATAAAACGCCCCCCTGGTCACGGCCGACAAATGGTCATCCAATGTCAGCCGCGAATCCAGGAGGACTCCCAAGTTGCGCGCCCTCTCTGAGGGGGCCAAAATTTCGCCCCCTATAGTCAGCGATGGAGTCAGATTATATTGTGCAGATAGATTCTCAAGAAAGTGGTATTGCAGATGCATTGATGCCAAAATTAGAAGGTTACATATGTCAAAACTAGTGTTTTAAATTGCATTCAGAAGCTTATTGGCATCCAGTTTAGGTCTTAAGCACAAGCGTAATAGGCTGTTGGGCATTAGTACCTATAGGAAATAGACTACAGCATTTTGTATCTATTGAAGCTTCTGACTGCAAAGGCAGCCTATGTACAGTGCACTACAGTAGTCCATATATGTGCTGATAAAGGCATGAATAAGGATTGAGGCAAACACTGTTTTTAAATCAAGAGACTTTTTAAATACGTGGCACGTACAGTGATGAAGGATTGATCAAACTGCTAGTTTGTTTCTGGCCTATACACTGACTTGCACCAGCCAACTGATTAATTTCTCATAAAGATGGCTGCTTCAAAATTTACTGATTTACCTGGGATATTAATTAGGTGAATGAACAAGTCATAACATTATTCTCTGTATTAAAATGTCATATTAGAATATTTAACGACACAATTTTCCTATATTATTTACCTGTTCCAAGTCCTTCCATTCCTGGGATATCATCTCCAAAACTTTGGACAAAGAAAACAGCAAGAAAATGAATGAGAGGGAGGGAGGGTAGGAGAAAAAAATATATACACAACAATACTTTTTTCCTAACCCAAGAGCAGAATGACAAAAAATGGCTATGTAAAAACTCTTTCAAATGCGGTTTTCTTTAGTGTGTTACATTTAAATTATTATGTTTTGGCATTCAGTGTTCTGATCTAAAATGTAGACTGTCTGGACAAATAGAAGGACAATGTAAAATAAGATGTAATCTTTTTCTTGAAATAAGTTACATGCTAATTGTTTAGGTCAGCAGAATTAAAGCCCCCTTATTGCCCAGTGAACTTTTGGTGTCCAGGTTGGCTGCCTTAGGAAATAACAGGAACAAAATAGGAAATGTATTTCAATTAAAAAAACAAAAATCAAAGCAAATAAACACAATTCTTTCAGCCCTTTGAAAATATTTCTGTCATCATGCCACCCTGTCTGACTTTATTAACATAGAGATCTATGCACATATCACAGGTGTCTTATCTAACGCCTAAAATATAAAACAATCATAGAAATATGTCCCATTTAAATATAATTATATATGTACACATTTAATATTTAAGCCAATAGTCATAGAGGTATTGGTTTTGGCAAGTACAGTAGTTATTCAATTTGATAATTCAGAAAATTTCATCATTCCATTTTATAACTAGTCCAAGAAACTGAACTAATTTTTATGTCTTTAGTTCTGAAAGGGGTACTATGTCAACCAGCTCTTACCAACTACACTTATTAATTCCATTTACAATACAATACAATCCTATATATATATCCCATTATGTGTCATGGGGCTTATTCCCTTGTTCTTCATTAAGATTACACCAAGATAGCTGCTGCACTTGCAACTTATACTATGGTTTGAAATATAGTATAGTATAATTTCTAACTATGAATTATCTATATATATTCATTTAAAATGAGAATTAACACAAGGAAGACGAGGAAAAGAATTAAAGTAAATGAAGGAAGAATACACACCCACACACAAATTCAGTAAGGCATTTGATTTCAGTAAGGCATTTGACAAAGTAGATCACAACCTACTACTTGATAAGATAGAAAAATGCGGGTTAGACAGCATCACCACCAGATGGATCCGTAGCTGGCTGACCGGCTGTACTCAGCGTGTGGTCCTCAACGGAACCACATCTACATAGAGGGAAGTGTGTAGTGGGGTGCCCCAGGGCTCTGTTCTGGGCCCAGTGCTCTTCAACATCTTCATCAACAATTTGGATGAGGGGATAGATGGGGAACTCATCAAATTTGCAGATGACACCAAGCTGGCAGGAATAGCCAACACTCCAGAAGACAGGCTTAGGATACAGGAAGATCTGGACAGACTTGAACACTGGGTGCTATCTAACAAAATGAAATTCAATGGTGAAAAAAGTAAGGTTCTACATTTAGGCAAGAAAAACCAAATGTACAGGTATAGTATACGGGATACCTTGCTCAATAATAGTAACTGTGAGAGGGATCTCGGAGTCCTAGTGGACAATCATTTAAATATGAGCCAGCAGTGTGCTGCAGCTGCCAAAAAAGCCAACACAGTGCTAGGCTGCATTAACAGAAGGATAGAATCAAGATCACGTGAAGTATTAATACCACTTTACATTGCCTTGGTAAGGCCACACTTGGAATACTGCATCCAGTTTTGGTCATCACGATGTAAAAAAGATGTTGAGACTCTAGAAAGAGTACAGAGAAGAGCATCAAAGATGATTAGGGGACTGGAGGCTAAAACATAAGGAAGGGTTGCTGGAATTGAGTATGTCTAGTTTAATGAAGAGAAGGACGAGGGGGGACATGATAGCAGTGTTCCAATATCTCAGGGGCTGCCACAAAGAAGAGGGAGTCAAGCTATTTTCCAAAGCGCTTGAAGTCAGGACAAGAAGCAATGGATGGAAACTAACCAAAGAGAGAAGCAACCTAGAACTAAGGAGAAACTTCCTGACAGTTAGAACAATTAACCAGTGGAACAACCTGCCTCCAGAGACGGTGAATTCTCCAACACTGGAGGTTTTTAAGAAGAAACTGGACAGCCATTTGTCCAAAATGGTATAGGATTACCTGCCTGAGCAGGGGGTTGGACTTGATGACCTCCAAGGTCCCTTCCAACTTTATTATTATTATTATTGTTGTTGTTGTTGTTATCATTATTATTATATATTCATTTACATGCATATTCTCCCTCCCACCAAGAATGTGTATTTTTACTGCAATTCATATTTATCTGAAAGTTCCACTGGATTCAAGGACCTTACTTCTAAGGAGGTATGTACAGGATCATTTATAGCAGAGAATGGGGAATATTAGGTTCATGCCTCTAGTAATTGTAATTACTAAATACTTATACTCTAGTAAGTTTAATTGGGCATTATCAAGTTGTCAGGCAGCCCTGACACAAGAAGTCTTTGAAAAAGACAGTGATTAGACCAGTTGCGAGTTCAGAGCTAACTTTCAAGAGTTAAGAAAGCCACAATTTAAGTCTTCTGGAAGGAACTAGTTGGAGAAGGCTGTTGCAGAATCTTCAGATACATAATCATTTGATTTCTGGATAATAATACCTACCCTTTTACTCCTTTCTTAGGGGGCTTGCTCTTGAATTGTCTTGTTTGCCTTTGCTTGAATTTCGGAGGCCCCTTTCGTGGGGTTGTTGGCCCTGTTGAGTCTTTTGCATTGAGGTTAGCAGCTGCAGCGTTATCAGACATCTTGGGTTACAGTGAGATACTTGGCTTTTTAAGATTCTCCTCTCTAAAAGACAAAATATTGCGGTTAATAAAGTTGGAGGTCTTATATAACATTTGATGCCACAAAGATTGAAAATTCTAACTAGTACAGAGTCAGTATACATGTTAAGCTAGATAGACTAATTATTACTGTTATCTAATGCTATTTCTGTCCTTTCCCCCATCCACTTGAAACAGAGGATATGGTTTCCCCTTTTTGTTGTTTCATGTATATATCTGCATTTCTCCTTTATCAGTTATAAAATGACCCCTGAATTAAAAAATGGATAAAAATTTAGAGCAGTCAATATGGGTAGCTTATTCCATAGTGATGAATGTGGTCAGAGAAATGACTTATATACATTGACAAAAAGTCAGTGTCTATTCATCTTTTTAATCTGAAACTTATTTTTTCTTTTAATATTTTAAAAACTCATAAAATAATGCTGCAATGGGTTTAAATTATCTTCAATGAATTTATTGAATCCTATGTACTAAATACAGCTAGATGTACTAATTTGAGTTCTTTACTTCAGCTCAGATAGCAATCTGTTCCTTTGCAATCTATAGATTTTATGCTTACATAAATTTAATCCCTTCCTCCTCCTCCATATTTGATTCTTTTATTTCACATCAGAATAAGACCAATGTTGGTTAGGACAAAACTATGTTGCTAATGGCCTTTATACTCAAGTGCCACCAAGAAAAGTGCTTGTATTTAACTTCTTCTGTCTCATATATGGAAAGTCATATGCTGCTCCTTATAAGTATTTTTTATTTTTCTACTTTTTATTTGTTCTTTGTATGTATTCATGGAGATATGAGGTGGTGTCCTATTTTTTTTAAAAAATGAATGCTTATTATCAGACCATAACAGTATATTCTTAATGCAATCTTGAGTTCTTTTCACGTTATCAGTTAAAAAAAAAAATCAGAGCACTGAGAATATTCACAAATAAAAATTACATCTACAAAAGCACAGGGGCACATTTTAGTAGCTAGATCTTTTACTAGAGTTTCTGGGAATTGATTGGCATATACATTTAATAAAATATTATTGGTTCATTGCACAATCAGCCAGATGTTTAGGCTGGATTTGGTAACCTATTGGGTCCTTTTCAAGGACCTGAGATAGGCAGATGCTGATGTTTCATAGTGCTAAAGGGATTGTGGCAGTATGTAAGTTGTTCCAATTGCCGTTTGCAATTGACCAATGGTGATTTTGTCAATGCCAATGGTGTTCAAATACTGTCCAAGTTGTTTTGGGAGTATACCCAGGGTGCCTATTACTATTGATACTGCCTTTACTTTCTTTTGCCACAGTCATTCTATTTCTATTTGCAGGTCTTTGTATTTTGTTGTCTGTTTGAATTCTAAAGTCCCAGAGCACTTTAGCGTCTTCTTTTTCTATTACCGTACTTTCTATAGTTTATGGTCCCACCAGTTCTTGCTTGCAGGCAAATGGTATTTCTTGTAGATCTCCCAATGCACTATTTGTTGCTACTTGTTGTTTATGGTCAGTCTGTGCAATCTTTTTACAGCAGCCAGGTGGTCTGGTTTCTTCAGCTTCTTTTCAAAAGCGACACTTGCTGTCTTTTGCTGTCTTCTCAATTCTGGCTTTGTATGCATTTGTTCTTAAGGTTTGGTCTTGTGCCACCAGAATCAGCCCCTCTTTCTCTTTCTCCAACTTTCCTGCTCTTAACTATTGCCAGGTCTTGTTATCTGCTTCGTCTGCTATTTTTTTTAATATACTGGCCATGTAATATTTTGTCTTCCCATATCTCTTTTTTGTTCTTTTTATTATTATTATTACTGACATTTAGAAGGGGCAGAAGAAGGGTGTCACACTTGGACCAAACAGATTATCATTTATTGGTCAAGGGAGAGAATTTATCACAACATATAATCTTCATACCCATTTTGTGTATTTGATTGTATTGATAAAATATATGCTGTCATAGGCCAAAAATAATACTATGAAAATGTAGCAAATGTCATACAATTTAGGTTTACATCTCCTATAACTATAAGCCTAAGCTATATTTGAAATTATATTTTGCCAGTAGAGATATCATTTCTATAAAATTCGAAGCTTGTTCATTCAGAAAAAAGTTATATTGAATTCAATGGGGATTTAATCAGGAAGTAATATTACCGTATACATATTTACTTTGGAAGTCCCATTAAAACAATGTGAGTGTATATGTATATGTGTGTGTGTGTGTGTGTGTGTGTGTGTTTGTGTTTGTGTGTGTATGTGTGTGTGTGTTTGTGTGAGTAAATAGACATAGGATGAAGGATCATTGTGTGTTGGACTAGCGATTACTTTTCCTTCCAGAAACATTTTAGTTATATACTGTATTTTGCTTTAAAAACCCATTCCTGATTTAAGGAATATGTATTCTTGCAAATAGGAGGGTGAGAAGAAAGCATTAACCATGCTGACAGTGACATTTATAGCAGAATCAAAAATTTAGTTAAACTCCTGATTTCCTGGCTGCCTTTATAGGACCAGATTCCTTGCTAAATTCAATGGAATTGCGCCAATTGTATAGCGCAAACTGATCTCTAGAATCTCAAAGACTACACAATTTTTTCTTCGTATGTGAACATGCTGTTTAAAGAAATGGCAAAGAATGGGAACAATTGAAGTGAACTTATTTTGCTTGTCTTCACATGAAAAATAGTATGTAAGAAAAAAATCTTCATCCTTAACAAAAGGTTCTTATATTCTACTTTAAGTCACATAACAATCATTTCCTACCAAAACCAGAAACATCAATGAGTTCTCTACAACAACCTTACCTAATTATAAGTCAATGAATCCATTTCTAGATGGCTTTCATCAAATCAAACCATACTTTATTTATATACTTCAAATAAATTATGTAGGAGTTCAACATCACTATAATGCATGCCTAACACTAACTGAACATCTTCTCCACCTAATCACTTGCCTTCCTATTTATGTTTTGATTTTTTTTCTCAATGTCTTAACCAAAAAATCTTTTATGATCTTACCTTACTCAAGAAATGTCCAAAGAGGTTCTAATAAAATTGCTCACAGTTCTTGGAAAAAGTGTAATCCTATGATGACCAAATTAGTGTAGGCAATAGCAGTGAAGTAAGACTTGAAGACTGCTGTACAAATGAGTGCTCTTTCTCTTCCCACCTTTCTCGGCCCTTCTCAACGTGAAAATCAGTGTAATTGTCTCTGACATATCCTTGTTTAGCATAGGAGTCAATCCATCTTGTTTGCGTTGATGGCTAATTTTACCTAGTTTAATCTGTCCATAGAAGGTTCTTATCATGATGCTGTCAGATGGCAACCTACTTCTATGTTAATCTCTGTCCTTCTTTCCTCTTGCTTGTTGACTTGTGAACAGGAATGCTTCTATGCTAATTGGATTTAGTTTCTTCCTAATCCATTCCTTTTTCAGCTTTAATTTCTGATCCTTAGGAAATGCAAAATAAATGCTTGGGCTGATAGATTTAGCAAGGCTAGGCAAAACACTTTATGGATACTTCTGACCTTTTTTTATTTATTGCCTTGGAAAAGCTGCTCATTCAGCCTCCCAGTTCAATAGGAACATTTTGCTGGTTCGTGGAAAGATCAACTGGTATTATTTTCTTACAACATTTTTATTAAAGAAATAAAGATAAACATGAACAAATATAAGAAAAGTAGGAAAGATAAAACAATAGAGCAAAGAAAAAGAGAAAAAGAAAAAATATTTAAAGAAGTGACTTCCAATCTTTTTTACAGCAGTTATAGACAATATCACTTCCCCTCTTATATAAATTATGTAACATAGTTATGTAATTATCTTAATAATGAAAATCCTGGGTAGGAATTTCTTCTCCCATCCGCTGGCATTATCTTTTACTGATCACAATGAGCTTCTTTGTAATCCTAATCAGTTCTTTACCCCATCTTGTATTTTCTTGATATGAAATGTAACTCCGGTCATTTCCAGGCTTATGATGCAAGTCAGGTACACTATACAGCACCAGCTTGGAAAAGCCATATATATTCTATATATTCTATATATATATATAGAATATTATACTCTATATATCTCTGGAGGTGTAAGATGTTCGAGTCACCTCAAACCACAAGATGGGCAACAAATAAATTTACTTATGGTTTGTTACACAGTCAGCCAGGTGTTCAGAATGGATTTGACATATTTATTTACCTGTCGAACCCTTCCCAAGGACCTGGAATAGGCAGATGTCAATGTTTGATGGTGTTTAAAGGTATTATGGTGGGATGTAAGTTGTTGTGAGTAAAGCTGCCTTTTGCAATTGCTTGATGATGATTTTGTCAATGCCAATGGTGGTTTTCAATCTCTGTATATTTGCGACGGGTAAACAATTCCATCAGATTGTCTAAAATCTTGGTTAAATTATGGTGAGTATATTAACAATCCAGAATCAGAAACCACAACTATTTTAAAGGCAGGAGGGCAAGAAAAGGAAAAGCTGTTTGGAATTACATGGTTGCCTTTTAAGTGTGAATACCACCTACTATCTATTCCTTGAGTTAACCATAATTTCTATCTGTTCCAGCCCGCTGGTAATTTAATTTATGCCATTTTTTTCCTGCTATAAAGTAAAGTTTTCTAACTTGTGCCAAAACAAATTTTACTTTCTGGCTGATTCACCTGGCATACTTCAGTAGGCAAAGACCACTCCTTTTGGCTTGGCTAGTATGTGCTAAGGCAAGAGTATCCCCTCCTTCTGCTCAGCTGCTGAGCTGATTTCACCAGTGAGCTTCTGAAATTTTTTTGCACAAGTTCACACATGAAATAGTGGAATGCTGAGTCAGTCCTTTCTTCCTTGAAATTAGCAAGAATTTTGCCGGCTTCCTCTTTTAGCTCAAGTACTTACCAAAAGAATAATAAAAGGCTGATATTTTCTTTTTACTGGTCTATTTATAGATGCTATGGGCAGGACTCACCTAAAGGCGTGCATACAAA